GAGACATTAGGGGTTGTGCAATAAGCTCTGGTCAACTGGATGAGCGCCTTTCTTTGTGCAGATATAAGTTTTCTATTTATATGAATTTTATATATATCTTGGCTCCAGCTACCGCAAGCATATGTAATTATTGGTACGAAAATTTGTTTGTATATGATGTTAAGGGCATCGGTAGTAAGTCCCCAGCGTCTCTTAGCAAAGCCAGTAAGAATATTAAATATACTGCCAGTACGATCAGTTATGTATGCTATGTGTGTATTCCATAATAAACGATGGTCTAATATGATTCCTAAATATTTGATGGATTTAACAATTTTAACACTTTGTCCATCCATCTTAATAACCGGGGTCCTCCGGTAGAGATTCGGTTTACCAGGTTTATTAAAAACAATTCCCATCGTTTTGTTAATGTTAAAGGTAAGTTTGTATTCCTTACCCCATTTGCTTATCTTACATAAAGTATCGTTACCGAAGATCTCTAGAGCAGCTCTCGAATTACCCCCCAGAAGAACGATTGCATCATCTGCATAAGCAATTGTTACGTGGCCAAAGCTCTGTCTTAAAAAGTTGTCAAAGACAGTATTCCACAAGATAGGGCCACATACAGAGCCCTGAGGGCAACCCCTAACGACATTTCTACGCATAATGTGAGCACCATAACACAGCTCTGCAGTTCTATTGTTTAAGTAATGAATAAAAATTCTATATATGTTTCTGGGACATTGCCTATCTCGCAAGCTCTGCAAAATCGATGGCCACCATGCGCTGTCGAAAGCTTTTGCTATATCCAGGCTTATAGCAAGTACGAATCTATATTCCTCTAATAAGAGATTTATACTTTTGATAACTTTCTCAATTGCGTCTGGAGCAGATTTTTGTGGGCGAAAACCATATTGGTTGCTATGCAAATATTGATTTGTCTCCAAATGCCAAGATAATCTATTAGTCAATAAACGTTCAAGTACCTTTCCCAATACCGGCAATAGAGAAATAGGCCTACACTCGTCCAGATTTCCCGGTTTCGGCACAGGTACGATCCTTGCCCTTTTCCAGGAATTAGGAAATATTCCAATTCTTAGACATGTGTTGTAAATCTCAGATAGTTGATCAGGTATAATAACCCACAGTTGTTTCGCCAAGAGTGGCGTAATATCATCGTATCCAGCTGCTTTTTTGTTGTTCATTTTTGTAAACGCCCAAGCTATTTCTTCAGTGGTAAACTCAGGAGTGTCATTGGTATATATATTACTTTGTATATTTTCTCGTACGATACGATGTTGCTCATTCTCTTGAAATATATGATCTGAAAGACAGAAGGTGTCCATTTTCCTGTTGGCAACCTCCTCAAAAGTTTGTCCGATGTTGGTAGAGTGCAGAATTTGTTTTCGCCTCAGTTTGTTTGTGCAATATCTTGTGATGAATCCCCAGGGGTTATTTCCAGCATTCTTACAAAATTCTCTCCAAGAGTTCAACTTAGCCATCTTAATAGCATTTTTATAATTTTTAAGATGTTCAAGATAATTCCTCTTGTAAATGGAGCGCTGTGGTTCAACGTGGCATCTCTGGAAAGTCTTCCTTAGCCTTATGTTAACAGTTCGAAGAGTTCTCAGCTCACCATTCCACCAAGGCACTATGTGTTTCCTATTGTTGATGTATCTAGGGATAAATTTGTTACATGCAGTTATAATCATATCGATTGAGCTATCGATAGATAGTTCAGTTGCCTGGGGATTTTCTCGATTACAGATGGGAAGGTATGTTTGAAGGTATTTCTGGAGTCCGTACCAGTCCGCAACTTTCAGATTGAATTTGGGGCGTGGTTGATTAAAATTATCTGGTGTAATGTTGGATATATTGAAAGCAATCATTGCGTGGTCATCTATGGACTCTTCCATAATCTTCCATCCATGAACATAGGTAAGACACTCCAAAGAGCATGCCGTGATGTCCAGCCAACTCTCTCCACGGCTAGAGACAAAAGTGGGAGGGGATGTCGGGTCATTAAGAATCTGCAACCCATTTCGTGCGAAAAATTCTTCCCAACATCTACCACGATGATCAAGGCGGGCCCCCCCCCAGCAAGGGGAATGTGAATTGGTATCACCAGCTAGAACGAAATAAGTATTGGAAAAAGTATCCACAATGTCCTGCATATCTGAGACGAATTCCTGTATATTACAATCTCCAGGGCAGTAAAAGTTTATAAATATGTACCTACATCTGTTTATAATGATTTCTGTACAGCAAATGTATTTATTACTGATATTTTTGTGATGTAAAATAGAAAGCTTGTTATGTGTGGCTATGGAAGTTGCCCATGGATAGTCTGATGTGCCGGATAAAAATATACAAGATGTAGGTAAACATGCAGGTTTGAATTTGATACAGTATGGTTCTTGTACTAATACAAAATCAAATTTATTAATAACTGAGGCAAGGAGGGAAGTAGCTGCAATTCTTTTCCCTGTGTTATATTGCAGAAAACAGATGTTATTGTTAATGTATTGGTCCATAATCCGTTCGTTGTATTAGGTTATTTTTAATTCTGGCAAATAATCGACAAGAACCATCTCTAGCATTATGGCCGCAAGCAGAAGGACCATCGTGTTTACAATTGCAGCAAATAGCTGGTTTGTTCTTGTTAGTGCAGTCCTTAAAGCTATGTTGGCCAGCACAGTGACTGCAAGTTGGTACCTCTTGACTGCATGAAGTGGAAGTGTGCCCAAATCGGCAGCAGCGAAAACATTGGAGTACTGGGCAAAAGTCAGTAATTCTACACTTGGACCATTGGACTGAAATTTTTTCGTATTTTAATAGTTGTAATCTCAATTTTGGTGATACTTCTATCACCCAGTTATTATAATATTTGCCCTTCTTACCCATGCGAAATTTAATCCTAAAGTTTTCTAAAAATTCTTCTTCAGTGCATGTTACTCCAATGTTCTCATTTTGATGGAAAATACATAATGGTAACTCTTCTCTTGATAGCTCAGATGGCACTGAGTAAATAGCTAAGTGAGGCAGTTTTTTCTTTGGTTTCTTAATTACTATTTGTGGAATTTCCTTCCTGACAAATTGTTCAAATTTATTCGCATCTTCACTGTCCCCCATTTCCACTGCCACACCCCCTCCTCCGATATTCTTGATTTTATCGATTCCTATGGCCAATTGCGATGGTCTTACCCGATCGTACAGGATTTTCCTCAAATGATTTGAATCAGCCTCTCCATCCACATTATACAAAAGTAGTACCTCCATACTTGTATTCAGATGTTTATGCCGATTATTTACATTAGGTTTGCCAGATTTTAAGACTTCACTGTAAGTTTTCAATGGTTGTCTTTCAGCATTACAAATAGTTTCCACCTTTCCCAGTTTCTCGTATAGGCATTTCTGATTGTTTAGAATTTCATTGATGGTACCTTCGTTTAATAAATTTACCTGATTCTGAGATTGCTGTAGATCCTCTCTCATATTAAAACCTTCATTTATCTTAGTTATCATCTTTGTAATATCATTTTTAATCCTGTCAATCGAACTATCCTCCATCTCTTTGAGCTTTCTCAATAATTCATTTTGCGAATCAGGCATAGTGTTATCTTGTATGATATCTAATTTTTCTAGAATTTTATTGTTTATGTCATTATGTTTTTCATTAACTAAACTATGGGTAATGTTATTTTCCAGTTTGTCAAGTCTATCCAAAATTGTTTGTTGGAAATCATTCATTTTGAGATTCTCGCTCAAACAAATTATGTCCTTCTTTGTAGCCAAAGTAGTCATTCTTTCCTGGGTGGCATCAAGGGGCTTTAAACCATCAAAGATGCCTTCAACTAGGTCAATGACCTTATTGAATTGATCCAAAATGAATTGCACGTGCATAGGTGCATTGAATCTACCTTTAGGATTGGCTTTTGCGTACGATTTAATTTCATCCAAAATGCCATCGACAGAGGTTCTAAACATCTCACGAGTAGCAGACTCCATATCGATAAAAAGTGTGGATATGATACCAATATATGAACAAATTTTAAATTATATCCAAAATAACGCAAGGAGTAAGCTTAAGATCGATTAGTCTAATTACATATATATATATAAATATATATAAATTGAAATAAATACCAAAACTTATATAATATAGCTTAAGATTAACTTATAATAAACGAAAATAGTGAAAGTATATTGTAATTCCTTTAATAACTTTATGTATGATTATTCTATATATTTATCCATATCACCAGTATTTCCCTTAAATTATCCCAATTCCAAAAATATATAATTATCTCTATGTTAAATAAGAGCAATAGCCGAATTTACCGATTTCCCACTTAACTAATGTATCTCTATAAAGAAAGGTCAATGACCTTTGCTGTTGAAACGGAAGTTTGGCCGATGTTGAAATTCGAACAAGAAAACTAAAATCTCCATAATTCAAAAACTATTGTAAATAACTGATTGAAATTTTCTAAGAGAACTACTAAAAGGGTCCTAAAAGAACTGCCCGAAGGATATTATCCACCAATTCACCAAAAGCGAAATATCGACGTTCGACCTCTGACCGGAAGTTTGACGGTATTAAAGCCGTAGATAGTCCGAAGACCACGAAATTTCAGATATTACAATAATCTGGCAGTCCGCACTAGTCGGCGTCGACCGATCCGGTTAAAAGGTACTTTAAGTACCAGTTTCCGGAAAATGTTCTATTTTGCCCAAATTTCAAAAAGTTCAAAGTTTAAGAGGTCCTACTTGACTGATTATGATTCTCCTTGTCTTTCGATGCAATATTCTACATAGTACAACATTATTAAAACAAAATTTCCACTAAAAACACTAAAACTTTTAAGAGCACAACAAGCAACATCTTATCCATCCATTCAATTCGAACCCTTCCAATCAAACAATATGTAAATATCCGTGATGTATAAAAATATGTGTATCATCCTCATAATCTGAGTTAATAAAAAAATATAGTTATCATAACCTATTCAGCCTTATCATTATCGACTCGCGACACGGGTAGCGCGTTAGATACTCCTGCCCTAATAATGCTTCAAATTATTTTGTATGTATTCGTGTTACCACCACTGCTAAAAAAACGCAAACTTAATAACACTATTCCCCTATTGCAGGGAAAGAAATCTACCCTGATCATAGCGGCCTACACGAGAGATATCACCGGCGGGTCAACGACATGAGTCCTCTTCAAATTTATAGTATTGTCCTAAGCCTGTTCGTGACATTGACACTTCCTTTAAAAACGGATGACCTATCGAAAGGAGTCGTGTTCTTGCACCAAGGAAATTTTCTGATAACTACCAGCCATTGGACCCTGGTGAACGATATGACCTTTGAGCACCTAGAGCTGTGGCCGGTGGCCATATCGGCATACGTTTATTTTATTATTATTGGTATATACATATTTTTAGTTCTAATATTCTTTCCCTATTTCTTCGATTTCTTTGTGTGTTCATTCTAGAACATTCCATGACCGTTATAGCCTCTAGGGGGGATTAGCGATTCTGTGAATTGCAAAGAACAATAGTGCAAAAAATTACTCCCCTCTGAGAGAGGAGAACAAAAAAGGGTGTGTAGAGGGGACGGAAGAGGTAAGAAGGGACAGAATCGAGGGAGACACGAGGAGAATAGGACGTGTCGAGGTGAACTTTGGACTTGACTGAGAGCCGAAGAAAGAGAGACTTCTCGGGAGGGTCAAGCGACGGACTGGAGAGAATCAGAGTCCCCACGGCTGAAGGCCCAACGACAGGAAAACTGAAGACATTTTACTTCACTAAGGAAGTAGATCCGAGGACACAGTAAGAGTTGGGAAGAGAGTGCCAATAGAAAAGGGTCCGACCTAGAGCGCAAAATCATATCAGAAAGAACGAGGAAAGTCCCGGGTGAAGTTGTTTCTTCCTTCTATTTTCCTTCTTGCTATCCTATCCTTCTTATATTTTCCTTAGTATTAAGCTAGGTTTAAGTTAGGTTAAGTTAGATTTTATCACGCGTATAGAAGATACATATTGTCACGCGCCAAGATAACGTCACCCCGCGATTTCTTGTACCCATCACGTTGTAATGATTGTACCTGAATCAATTGGGATCCATAAATAAAAGAACCTGTTAGTGATTTGTAAGAAAAGTGTTGGTAATTATAATTGCTCTTACAACACAAAGACCACAGAGCGACAAATTCAATTCATTTCAAGTTCTCTTGTTTATTTAGAGACAATGACTCAACAGCGCAAACATATTCCGCCGCAGGACAAAGATCCACAGACACAAAAGAATCTCCCGGAAAAAGGCTTTGAACTAGTAAGAACCTCTTTCCTTAATTACCATAAAGAATATCAAGAGCTCACTAACCTAATTACCATACAACCCTTACAGATGAAAAAGCAAGGCTTGATAGATGCAGGAGGAAAAATCCTAAAATTCCTCTTTGGCACTGCCACATCGGAGGATATTCAGACCTTAAATGACGAAATTTCACAAATTAAACAGCGTAACGAAGGCATCCTACATTTATTAAATTCCCAAACCACCCTATTAAATGATACGTTAAACATCAGTAAAAATAATCGGCATCAAATTTATGTACTATTAAAAAGGCAAGAATCCTTCAGAGAACTAATGAATCTATACAGGTATGACCTCGCATTTGAAACTATTCTCCGAATAATCGACTTTTCTATCCAAGAGTTCCATTTCCAACTGGTAGAGTTAAGAGAGGCCATTGATATTTTGGAGCATAACCAATTAAGCACCTATTTTATCCCGCGCGACATTATGCTACGTACCCTCCAAAACAGACAACTTCAATTGCCAGAGGGATACGCCATGATCGTACCTATTAAACAAGATACGTTATTCAAATATTACCAATGGATTACTACCATTGCTGTTGCTTTACCTAACAAGTTGAGAATTTTTGCTAAGATACCGATAATAACTCCTCATGAATATTTTGATGTATACAAAATTGTAAAGTTTCCGACCTACGTACCTGTTTTAAAGACCTTTATCCAATTTCAAGCTGAATACCCAATCATCGCACTATCTATGGACAGACAATCCTATATGTTACTACAACGATACGACCTATGTGCAAAGTAGGCCGTCTCCCTGTTTGTTTATTGGATGTTCCTATTCAACGATTCCCTCAACAAAGTTGTTAACATGCCTTATTTACAGGCATGGAAACCAAAGTCAAAGACCTTTGCACTCGCCAAATCGTTATCAAGTATGCGCCGATATTTAAAAAGGTTGACCTACAAGGATCATGAATTTATTCCATACAAAATCCTCTCATCCTAACTATTAGATGTCCAACAGGGCATACAAACCCTTCTTCTATAGCCACTACTTACAAATTAAATCATACCGGAATAATTAATATCCCAAATGCGTGTACAGGTTATTTACCTGGATTTATTCTTACCTCACCTTTTCAAGGATGATCAACAATACAACATGAGATTGCGCAACATTTGATAGTTCCGCCATTAGACCATCTTATAAATTAAACGGAAATGCAAATACTGGAGAAACACCTGCGAGAGTGAAGAGACACCCAATTGACATCCGATGATGATATTAAATTGGCCGATCGTTCTTTAGCAAACGTCCAATATGACCTAGACAAACTAATACGACTATCGCTGACATTTTCGTCCAAAACTTATCCCTCTACATGGATAATTGTACTTTGTAGTTGTCTTAGTACAATATTAAGTGGAATCTGCACCATTGGTGCTGGCCGATACTACATACAGCGCAGAAAAACTAAAACAAAGAGTCAGCAACGCACACCGGAAAACAACCCGGAAGAGACCAGTATAAACGAAAGGGAAAGGCCAACTGATACATATCCAGGCACATCCCAGGAAATGACACCCCGAGGCAATTCCCTTCAACGACCCCAACCCTCTGTTGTTTTAACCTATTAATAGTCTCACGACTAAGCATTCTAACTACCCTATTGTAACCCATATACATTTGTATAAGAACGTTTTCGTAAATTTCGCGTATTCCTATTTTTATAACAAAATAGCATCAATATTAAATTCGCTAAATTTAATTCGTTAAACTAGTTTTGTATCCTATTAGATAATATTAGTCATAATATTGAGTATTAAAAATAATGAGAGAAAGAGTAAACCCTATATTATGTATATCTACTTACCTCAACAAGCCAAGGATATATATTTCGTTCCGAAAAGTGTTACTAATCATATTTTATTTTCGACAAGAACAGTGATTCATCCCTTCCAGAATGTAACGATGCAAGTCAATGACTGAAAGGTTCACCTAGATTACGCTGACCTATCATCATAGGAACTATACGACAAATATCATCAGCACGAAGATTTCATCGATATTCTGAGCAAAATACTCATCAATTGCTACGCAGTTCAGATCAAGCGGCCACTCAAGAAGACACACCAAAAATACTTCATACACTCATACAAAAAAAGACCCCAACACAAAGAACTTTGAACTACTCTCACAACATGTCAACTTACACTCACTCTCAGCCAATCAACGAGCCAGCCTGACAAACGACCTAAGAAAACACTGGTAATGACCCTAAACCATAAATATTGTCGCGAGTTTAACGCGTACTGGGATAAACTTATATGTACACCTAGTTTCTTATCAATAGATGAGAGAGATGAAAATGAAAAGAGAAAATTCTAATAGGTTTGTACCTCTAGACGAAAGAAACCACCTAATCATACCTCTAGACGAAAAAAACCACCTAAATTTTAAAATTGCACTATCTAAGTACAATTTTAAAGAAAGCAAAAAGTGATGTGAAATTCGAAATTATAAATGCATTTAACCCTTTAAATTTTTAATAAAGTTAATTTCCTTTAACCTAAGAAACATGACCCTAAAGAAACGAAATATCAAATACATGAGAAGATTTTAACTCTTCCTATTCAACTATAAACATTCTCACGATCAAATTGTGCGTTGTTTATAAGTATCGGCGAAATTCGTCAGATTGTTGTCTGTGAACACCAACTTTAACCCCACACCTGCTAGGACAATTGGTCACCTGACGAATTTTCCCACCAAAAAGGTATAAAAGCCCGTCTCCTTCCCCTCTCTGGGGAGTGACTGATCAGGGAGTTGCCGACAGATGGCCAAGACAGACCATCGCTTCCCTCTGACCTACCGTACAACATTTATCGGAAGACCTGGTATTTCAACTCGATCAACCTTCCAGAAAGTAAAAGCCCTCCAAAATAATTGAAAGAGGTATGAACACTTTATTGTAAACTCTCTCTCTCATACACAAATTAGAGTTTTGTAAATTTAAGTTCGTTAAGTAGTTAAATAAACTCTTGTTTGTTTTTCATGGTGTCTTTATCCGACTATTCCGTGTCTTATCGTCGACCCCTCTGACACTCCTCCACTCGCATACGTGTAACCGAGCGCGTAACAGATCGTAACATCATCCTTGACAAGAAAGTAGGTCAGAGACCAGTGGCCGGAAGGAGAGGACTCCTCCTCCCTCCCAATGGCTCACATAAGCATGAATTCGAACAAATAAATGGGTTATCTCTTGTAAAACACTTGTTCTTCATTTGCCTCCTTCGCCACCGCCCACATACGCGGTTTCCCTTAGGCTCATTCTGACGTGGAATAAATTGTCTCCCCTTAACGTCGGCAACCTTACACAGACATCTGTTGCAATGTCAACCATGGAAGCAAATTATTCAGCTCTAGCTGAAGCTTCGCAAAAAAAACTTACATAAAAAGACTGTTAGTACATAAGGGTTTTAAAAGATGTGTGAAAAACCCCACTTGTGTCTACTGCGATAACCAAAGAGCAATACAACTGTCGAAGAACGCGGTTTTCCACAAGCGTAGTAAACATATCGATGTAAGCTATCACATCACTCGAGAATTACTTGAAAAATACGAAATTGTAATTTACTATTTGAGGACAGACCTAATGATGACAGATGCCGTAACTAAACCAAGAACGGGAACCAAGTTTGATAGACTTGTGAAAATGTTAAAATTAAATTGAAATAATTGATCATTGTTATGTATGTAGCACACAGAGATAGAGGGAGTGTGAAAGAAAGTAAAAATGTAATCCTTGTGTGCTAAGTCACTAAGACATACTTTGTATTAGACGGCACTATGTTGGCGAGTTTCACATATTTTTGGTCATAGGTCACTGTCTCGTTTGGTCTGCTATGTCTCTGTGTAGCACGGTGTCTCCCCTCACTCCAGGTTTTATTCGTATTGCATATAACTGTATATTTCTGTGCATCGTTAGATTCGTTTATTTGCTTCATTTTCTGACAATATGTAACAAGAAATCCGACTAAATAAGATTGAAGAAAACAAACAATCAGCTTTGCACTAGAAAAACTGTAGGCTACTCACCGAAAAACACTATTTGAAGTTGCTAAAAACATCAAAGAAAAATTCAAATTTCTGTGATTGTTTGTGCCGGTAAATTCCTCATTTACAAATTTTAAAAATTTAAAAACCAATCGTTTTCAAACACGTACTTTCAGGGTGGCATTTTAAACTCCATCGTCATGTATTCAGTTCTATTAGTGTGAGAATACTAACGCTATTTTGTGTTTTCACACTAACTGCGTAATAAGTGAGGGTGACTTTCATCGTCCGAAGGTCATCGACGAGGGACCACGATGTCCCGTGATCCCCCATAAGTCCAAGCGACCGGACGAGAAATGACCAAATAAGGCAATGAATTTTTCTACAGCAGGGGAGACGGTAATAAATCAGGGAAAACTGTCAAAAGACGTCAACGAAATCCCAGATTTTTCCCATGCTAAAGGGTATAAAAGGGGAACGATCTAACACCTCGAGAGCGATTGTCGGGGAAGAGAACGCAGTGAACTATTCTTCCAGCACTCCCAGGATCTACGAAGCTCATAATCCCTGCTCTATAAAAAGGTAAAAGACTTTGAATATTTTCTACTCTCTCCATATACGACGGAATTGCTCCTCGAAGAGGTAAACCAAGAAACCTCTGAGTGAACTTCACCATAAAGAACTCTCTACAGATTAGGAGCGACGGAGCATACACCGTAACCGGACTTAGCCGAACAACCTGGGAAGGACATCGCTCCACATAGTCTTCATAGGACACCTCAGATTAGAAGACGATAATCACAGAGCGTTTTATCAACACCCTATAATATGAGAGCGTTTCCTACGAGGTAAACCCTTGCCATAATTATCTCTCTCTCCAACGTGAGGTCTCTCTCGATCATTTGAGTTAGGTTAGGTTAGAATATAGCATATCTATTTATATCTTGATACGCATGTGTTGTATTTTTCTTATCTTTATGTATAATTATTTTATTTGTTTAGTAAATGTGTTATTTATTTAAACCTGTGTAGTCTTTTGTACACCTGATCACAACTTCCGACTCCTCCCCACTCATATCTTTAGCCGTCCTATAGCCATTGTTGCGGTCGCGAACTAATTCTTGTAAATAGTCAACATTTCTGTAAGGCGGTAAATTGCCCGGAGCGTTAGCCCATGAAGACACTTCTGGACTAGCTGCCGAGACTACCAGTCGCCTCTACGCTACGCTCCACGAACTGTGCTACCGCTCGTCATAAAAGCCAAGAAGATTGTAAGATTGGAGTCAAAATTTAATCTACTACTAGTTAATAAAGATGCTATGTCTTTTATGTTACAACATGTCGGTTGATTTACTTTAACCGGGCAGTTGGGAGGTGAATACCCGACACCATTCTCTGACAGCCAAGCCAGTAAGTGGGGAAAAGCTCTCGCTCTACCCCCTTGGTTCGCACATTAATATTGAATACAGTATAATATTTACTAGAATATATGAATAAAATTTAATCAAAAAAGTACATATCTTAAAGAATCATTTTGATTTTCTGTATCAATATTTTCCATTAATCACGAAATAAAGTTGTAAACAGAAATCATTTATTACAAATAAAGTAAAACTTGTATTAGACGATAATTTGCAACCAAACTTATCAGTTATAAATTGCTAAATATTTTACTTGTTGTAATGGGTTAAATAATTTCATGATGGTTTTGATTGGTGAGAAGTGTGCAATATAAAATAAAAAATGGTTTATAACTCGTGGAATATTACAGACAATGTTTACGAGACAATTAGTTGAAATAATTCCTTACAAATGTAATTGCCAACTCAAACTAAATCATTTAATTATTATAAATTAATCATTAGTTTAAACATATCTAGAAGGAACGAATTTCTTGATTTCAATATTTATAACAATCTTTTAAATTGCACAAGAGATTTTTATAATATTTTAAGAAAATTGTCTTTAATGTTTTCGAAACTATTCCAAAAATAATACGGATCGAAAAATAGTAGAATAAGAGTATTGTTTTCAAATGCTCCTCCTGTATATTGAGATATACATATACAGTATTAGTGTAAGCGTTTTCCATTCCGCAATATCCCAGTAATCCGAAGGAAGTTATGATTGCCATTCCCAAAGACATAACACATGCTAATACCATCCAAGGTTTGCTTCTTATCAAATTCATGAGTGTCGTCATCGAGAAAATACAAATAAATGACACTATGGCTATTATCATATATTTTAAATTGTCCAGAAGTAGTTTAGTATCTTCTTCCATGGACCAAAGATAATTTATTAATAGTTTGATATTTTGAAACTTTTAACTTTGTATTCGTATATACACTTTGGCGATCCAATTGTCAAGTAAGTAGAACAAGTAAGTAGAACAGTCTAACAGTAGTAAGTAGAACAAGTAACAAGTCTAACAAGTAAGTAGAACAGTCTAACAGCTTTGAGTTTTTACATAATCGTTTTCGTCGGATGTAACACCTCCCAAATTAGTGACGTATGTTCGATAAGAATAGGTCAAGGTGTCGATGTCCACCGGATATTTGAACTTTCTCTTTCTATTTAGCACGTTACTCGCATCAATATAATTTTGAGAAATGCGTTATTGTAGCATTTGTTACGCACATTAATGCAAATATCACCATATCCAATTGTTTGATTAAACATTTGAATGGTGCAATTTTTAAATATGAAATCAGCTACTTGTAACTCTTGAAGAATTTCTTTTTCCAATATATTTCCTCCATTTTTCTTATAAAAAAATAATATATTTCCACTCGGAATTTCTGTACATCTAATTTCATAATATATTGATGCAAATTACCACGTATTTTGAATAAACCGTTGTATAGAATAAACTTTCCCGCTATCGGCTTTCAAACCATCGATTACATTTCTCTTATACTTAAGTTGAATGATTCCAGTTATTGAAAAAATTGAAAGTAACACAGAAATGACTATAAAAATATATGGATATTTTGCAATTGTGATTCCTAAACGTTTAAAAATTGTTGATAATTATCTTCTTATAATGTCTGTTTCATTATGCAATGATCTGTAATTAAAATTATCATCTGTTATACAGCCATTCAGATAAAGTTTACCCAACGAAATTAATTTGTTCGTTACTACAAAATTCAGCAGGCCGCCGTCTCATTGAGAAACGTAAACGAATGACTTTATGCATTTAAATTAGTGATACGCTGTGTTTTGGAATCTTTATTCCAACATGTTAGAATAACTCTTACAGACATTCATTGTGCTCAGTACGTTAGTTAAACAGTATTTGCTTTTCTTAAATTAAATGTTTGATCCAATCAGATGATAAACTGTATTTATATTCTTGTTGTAAATAACACTAACGGGGTGTTTCACCAACATTGCCTACTCATGGTATATGTAAATCCGGCGATTAGACTAATACCGGGATTACCGAAGCAAGGATTTCACCAACAAATTTTAGCGAAGGATTAGTAAATCCTGAGATATTAAGAACTGGATTAGTGAATCCGATAATCTCGATACCAGCGTTACTAGTAAATTTTCTCACACGTTACTTGATTGGATATTTCGGAAAGACGTAATATGCACTTAGATATAAACATGGCAGACAACAAGAACGAAGTCGACAATCCGATTTTTCTCATCGAGAAACAGAATATTTAATGGAGTTAATTGAGAAGTACAGAGATATAATCAAATCAAAGAAAACGAATGCCATATCCTTTAAAGAAAAAACTTAAACGTGGCAAAATCTAACTGAAGTGTTTAATATATTTCCTAAAATTAGTAAACGAGACACAAAAAAACTTGAAAATTTTGTGGAAAAATTTGAAATAGAAAACAATAAAAGATGTGACATCAAATAAGCGAGCACGGATGAGTACTGGAGGAGGAGTATGTGCCGATATTGTGTATCCTATGCCACCAATTACCCAACGAATTTTCTCCTAAATCCCCGAATAATTTACTCCTCTCCCAAATCCTGTTGACACTGATGATGATTTTAATGTCTCTGTCGATGGTATATTTGTTTATATCTAATCATACTCAATAAAAACTAAATAGTAATAAAGCAGTTAATAACAATAAATAAAAATTTATTAAATAAAGTTATAAACATTGGTATTTACTTTCAGATAATGTGGCCAAATTTCCTGCTTACTGCAACAGCAATCGGGAGAATCAAATAGTGAAACTTTGAATGCATCAAATGCAAGTGTTAAATAGTTAATTAATCCCCTTATATATATTTCCATTTATTTTTAGAAATGTATTTTAGTGATCCTTTCTATATAGATTACTGTAAAATTAGCATATAGGAAATAAAACTTTTATCAACAATTATAATTTGATGTTAATATAAATTATGTAAACAAAGTATTTTAATCATAATAATGTTTTGATACTAAAAACTAATTAGCCAAAAAGAAATTAATTTTTAGAGCTAATCTAATTTTAAATAATGTTCATTTACATATCATGCATGTTTTCAGGTACTCGTACAAGATTTATGTCTAGTGAATCTATCATAATTTTCTGATGATCCAACAACAAATGAACCACCAAATAATAATCCACCAAGTAATTTTAAAATTGTTGATAAATATGCACTAGAGTATCACAAAGCTCGAATGCATTTTTTAAAAGAAGAACATAGAGCTAATACGAATTTTATGAAAAAAAAAAATGTAAGAAGAAAGAGAGGGAATGACTGTAGAATTGAACTCCTGCAAGAAGAAAAAAGAGAACAACAATTAAAAATAGAATTACTGCAAGAAAAATTATAAAGCATTAAAAAATAGTCTTATTAATAAATATAATTTTTATAGTTATTTTGTTGAAAATTATTTATAATTTTTATTCAATAATTTATTCTAATTACACATTCAAATTTAATGAAATTGATACAGAATTTTTTCAGAGGTCCAAACTAACTACTGAATGGGATTTTTTGACTTAGCATGATAACATATTAACAATTAATAAACTAATTTAACAATTAAAAATTTAAATTAACATTTTATAGGAAAAGAAACAAAAGGACTAGTATACAGTATGTGAGATCCGGAATTTCAGTGATGCAAATCACGCTCTTTTATTAACTAAAATTTTAATTACTTTACTTTCGTTTATGTAATGAATTGGGGAAAAAAATCGATCTTAGCCGGGACTGTGTAAACATTCCTGTCATAACTATCAACATCTATTGTTCTCTGCAGAACTTATGGATCATCTTGCAGAAAAGTTTACAGTTAACAGCCAACTTTCGTCCCTTGTTTTAGATCCCGGGACCACCTATAACCTTTAACTCATGAACATCATATCACATGGTGGAAATTCCCCACAATAACCTATAAAAGACAGTTCTTACCCCCTCTCGGGGAGTCTCTTAACGAACGCCAAACCAACGACATCGTGCCGATTCTCTGAACCCACCGAATTCCGATGAATCTCGAACCCTCATCTTCGCCGAATTCGCAGATCTATGTAATTTGTGTCGAAAGTGGATTATAACTACCTTATTCCTTGGATTGATACCTAAGTGCCCCCACGCTCGAATCGTTGAGGGGAACTGTATAAAGAGGTATGATAGAACAATGAACTCTCTCTTTAGGGCAGTTTATGACAGCACGTTTCTGATTTTCTACGTCGATAAACTGTATGGCTTCTTTGGGGCTAATTGCCGACGCGATCACTTGCCCCTTTAGAGCATCTTTATCGAACGATCGTAGATTGGCCATCTATTTTGTTTGTTTGGCCAGAATTTGTGTTTTACTAGTGTACTGTACCTAAGAGTTGATGTAGTCTTTTCTCATTTGGCTTCCTTTAAATAAATAGATGTTATATTGTTTAAATATGGTAGACACCTTTACTCGATCACGCCCTTCACCTTATCGTCGACCCCAAGCAACAACTCCCTCCACTCGCCTGACGTATCATCCTCACTAGTGACAGAGGCGGTGACTTCTGACCTCCCCTCTGGTTCACAGTATATATAACAATTTTTATTTATTTTTGTTTTGAAGTTCTGTACCTTTTAACTAGAAATATGTTTCTATCTACTAATTTATTAAAAACTAGAAGCATAATCTGAAAAAGTGACATCTTCCAAGAAACTTTTGTTGTTTATTATTAAATACAATACTGTCTGTATTATTTCCACTGTGTTTAATTAACTTATCGAACACAACTCATAATCAAATAAATTATATATAGAGGAGAGGAGGGTATTATGAAATATCGAGGTTTTGGCTCTGTTTGTTGCTGCTATTACATGGGAAAACATGAACTACTCAAGAAAGTCTCCCACGATGTAGTGCAGTGAGAGTTGATTGCTTGTTGTCGTCGTAACACTCGATACAGAACAAAGTGTGTTTTGTGATTTTCAAGAGTTTTTGCAGGCAAATTTTCAAACATTTTAACCTAGTAGTATACATGTGACTTGAACATTGATGTTAAGCATAATGTACACTAAAGAAATTGAAGTTTGTTATACTGTAGTCGTTTTTAGCTGACAATGTTTTGTTCATCAGTTTAAAGGTTCATTTTCCAAGGTGGCGTATTGGGTATTATGGAATACTAGGATAATTGTATAAATTGAAAGAAAAAAAACAAAAAGAAGGAACCAGAAGCTTCAAAACAAAAAAACAAACTGAACATTCAAAGACCACCTGTTAAGAAATTAAACTTAGACCGACCTTCTAGACCTAAACCTACCAGAGATGACTCCAGTGTTTGCAGCGATGAATCGTTCCATTCTGATGTATCATCTGTAATGGACTTCGTGCCATCGACTAAAGAACCAGAAAACGAAGACGCTGAATGTATCTTCTGTAACAGAAAATTCTCCAAAGATGAACGACGGAAAATTTGAATTCAATGCTTCAGCTGTTCTCTATAGGCTCACCTTGATTGTACCGGAGCAGAAAAAAAAATTATATCTGTGACTTTTGTAAATACAGTAAACTCGAAGCAGGAATGACATGCACATAATCTTAGAAATATGGTTTTTATAGTTAAGAATAACTATGTTTTATGAAGTCTAATTAGTTTTTCAATGGTTTAAACCAACTATTCCATATTACCCGACAATTCCATATTACCTTCCATTTGTGAGTTTTTAAATACATTTTTTTAATAACAACAAAATAAATAGTATTATTTTTTTACAAGTGACAATTCATTACAATTAGTTATAGTAGGTACTCATGATGATTTTGGGATTTTTATTCAAACACCAGTAAATTTAACAGAAGACATTATTGATTAAGAGGAACAAAAATTGACCTGACTTAATCAAATAGTTCAATAATACGTAAACAACCAAATAAACTTTTTTCGGGTTAAACGGTCAAAGTAGGGCTTGACAAACTGTATTCCGACAGTTTAACCTCATCAGATAATATGTCACGTGACGAGTAAATCTGGAGTCCTTAATCTTAAAATTTGTTGAAATTAAACATTAGATAGAAACGAAACTTTCAAAAATGAAAATAATTCCGCAAACCGTGTTCTCAACAAGAAGCAACAAAGTTAATTTGTGAAAGCAATAAGCATGAAGTAACTGACTTCATAAACCTGATGAAATGCACTGTCAGGTTTATGAAGAAAAACTTCACAATTGCATACTTCGTGCTCATTTGTACCATTGCCTAATTGCTTTATGCCGTTATTAAAGTAGCCGAAGTAGACATATGAAGAGGATAGCAAAATAAGAACTGCAACGCATCTCAAAAACAATCTACAAATCTTCGAGGCTATAGGTAAAAGAACGCATACATGACAATATATATATATATATATATATATATGTGTGGTGCCCGTCCCCCACATTGACATGACTTGATCGAGTCCGATGTCGTGCACAGGCAGGAAAAAGATGGACCGTTAGAGCAAAAAAACGAGAGCAACGAAGTAGCACGAACGGCGTGTCCTCTTCACGATGATTAATATCCATTTAATAATTGGTATCAAGATGATTTGTTTATTGTTCGTCATTTTGTAATGCATGAAGCTTCGAAAGTGGGCCTAAAACTTGTGGAAAAAAAAGATAATTTTTTCTAATTTTTGTATAGAAGGAAATAATAATAATAATTAATATAATGCTGTAAAAAGAAACCATCAAACAAAAAAATGAATATTTTATGTCCATTTAAGGACATGTCTGTAGAAATTTCTAAGAAAATCGAACTACTCAGATTAAAACAATAGATGAATTTGAGTGCTTAGATCGAACATCTTCGATAGGAATCTAATTGCCAGTCGATGTTGACTCATCCCACGATCTGGGTTCCGATCTCGTTACAATTCGTAATGAGGAGGGGGACCAATTGGAGAGCAAGGGCAAGTCAACATCGACCTCTATCAAAATGTTTGGTCTGGGACACAAAAATAATTTATAAAAATCGCGAGAAAAAAGGATGTGGCGTCCTTGGTTCTTGGATGTCTAGTTAGTGACTCCTCTACTTCAGTCATGTGTGTGTAGCATTAGAACGTTAAGAAGGGACTCCATGTACCTTAGATAGCAATCAACATACAAGGGCGACAACCGATGAAGGAAATCTAGTATCGACACAGAAGCTCTCTCCGGGATCAACGAGTGACCATACAAGGGCAACCCATACAAGGGAGCCCAGGATCGGAAGTCTGAGACCGACAGACATTACACGTTGTTGGACTATTCTATAATTGTTACAACCAGGATCCCGACATTTCAAAGTTTTTGTAAGTGACTATTTTGATGTTATTAAACGGGTGAAAATGGGAAAGCCTGTCTCTGTGAGTTCCGCCATGCCCACGCGACAGAGCTGACCGCTCAACTGTCGCGACACTTTTCACAGAATCGGCAAACCTCACAACGTTTTCTGTATTGTATTAAAATATACTTTATTATACGACATAAGAAACTCTTCATATTCTTTGTACACTGTTTGATGCCCAGCCACATTTTTCAGGAGTGGAATTCGAGTGATTTAAATAGTTGTAGATTATCAAAATCATAGTGTTTATTGATTATATTGAAATGTTTAATGACAAACAAAGGGATTCTCGAACTGACTTTGATTTGCCAAAACACAAAAACCTTTTGGTTTTCAATTTAAGCAAAAATTTTTGGATACTATAAAAACTCATCTCGTTAACAGCATAACAGTACATAGATTTGGTTAAATTTTAGATACATATACTGTCATGGCAACACTTCATACTAGTTATTAATACGTGTGTTCAAGAACAACCATGAATCAATAACTATTGTAAATCAATAACTAGTAACGTTTGGCACAAGGCGGCTCCCTCTGGGAGGTGTCAGTCTTATGTATAAACAGTCGGGACGGGTGCCAAGACAGTATACGTATCTAGAATCTAACCATAAACTTTTTATTCCTCAAAATGATTCTAAATGATATAAAAGAAATGAGCGTTGCATCTAAGAATTAAAAGTTCGATAAAATCAAAATTCTTCATAATATTAAAAACTTGAAGAAGAAATTCTTGTTAGATAGATATCTTAACAGACTAATTGAAACTAGGAAAGATAAAATAAATAATAGAATAAATAACAAAGAGAATCCTAACGTGAACAGAATAGACAATGAAAAGACTCCTAGACAAAATGAAGAGCAGACTAAAATTAAATATATTGTAGTCCCTTATATTAGAGGTTTATACGAAAAAATTAATAAGGAGATAAAGCACACCAATGTATAACTTGCCGCGAAGTATAAAAAACTTTTTGCGAGACTAAATACTAATAAATCCATATCAAAACAACAAGTAAATGAGATAAAAAACATCATATACCAAATCCCGTGTACATGTGAAAATAAAAAAATTTACATATGAGAAACCATGAGAAAGATGAAGATTAGATTAAAGGAACATATAGCAGATTTAAAACATCGTAGAATTAATCCAGCTTTTCTTGAACATTGTACGTTAAATAACTGCAATATTGACCAGAATAATGTAAATATCCAACATAAAGAAAAAAAAAACTTATAGCAGAAAATTTAAAGAAAGTATAGAAATTTAAAAAAATAAACATTGTATAAATAAAAACTTAAGTTTAAAAATCAACAAGAATTGGCTGAAAATACTATATAATAATAATTTTTTTTTTTAATTTTTAAGAAAACAACATTTTAAAGAAAACAGCATTTAAAAAATATTAAAGATTTTTGACGAAAAATTTTTCGAAGAAATCTGAAAAATAGTTGAAAATTTTAACTTGCAATTTTTAAAATAAGAACGCATTACTATGTAAATTACCATAAAGGAAAACGCCACTAAATGCTGAGAGATGAACAAATACGATTTATAAAAGGGTTAAATTTACCCTAGGTAGCCAAGATGGGCGCACTTCCCGTAGCCTCGGATAAGGTCGCTGGGAGCGACGGTTGATGTAGAGGGCTCTTTTTAGATATTCGCAACAAATTAATTATGCAAATTAGTATCAGATGGCAACGTGCAAGTTTGAAGTGACAACGGAGAGAAAGAGATTGATTTTGAAATATTGAAAAGGTAAGAAAAAAAGAAAAAAAAGGCGAGGTTTGTGCGATTAAAATTGATTTCTTAAAGATTTCTAATAATGGAAAATTTAGTAGAAATTAATAGCGAAGAATTTTGGTCGAAGTGCATGAGTGGGCAGTTTTACCGACTTTTGGAATCGGAATATGCAAATTTAGGCTTACATGCCGGAATTGGTAGCAACTTCAAATTTGCCACAAGTTTAGGCATACGGCACATCGAGGACGTTTGTAGAATGTGTTCCAACAAGTGTAGGATAACATACAGATGCGATAGAAATTTGTGCGTTACGAGGTGCAAAAAATGCAGGCAGAACACTCCGAATTGGATCATTTATAAATTTTTCAATTCCAGAAGCGCGGTTCACGCGGACGAGTGGAAAGGTTACAACAGCATAGACAAACCGGAAGGACTAGACATCGAACACAGAACTTTCAACCATTTGAAAAATTTCGTCGATCCGAAAACTGGGATACGCACCCAAAAAATCGAACGACTGTGAGGTCATTTGAAAAACAAGAACTTGCCAAAACACTACACGGAGGATCTGTCCGACTTGTACTTGTATTCGTTCATGTACAAAAAGTTGCTGAATTGGCCGTCGAAAAAACCCGGCGAAAAGTTTTACACATTTGTTAAGCATCTGTGCAACATATATCCTGGTTCCGGAAAACCAGCAACATGGAAAAAGAACCCGAGACCGTACACGCCGCCCTTTTTTTTTGGCTTGTTGGCAAATTAGGAAAAAGTTGTGCCAATATGAGCTCTGTCTTTGTGGTGTGATTTTTGCGGAAATATCGATAACAGCATGTGGAACATTACAGAATATTACATCGGAATATGAGGAGAGTGAAAATCCGTCAAGTAGGACCTTTTAAATTTGGAACTTTTTGAATTTTTAAGGAAAATAGACATTTTCCGGATAATCGGTCTTTAAACTACCGGTTTTCCGAAACGGACGACGGAATATTTTCCGGACTAATAATTTAAACCTAGTTATCAAATTTTGTGGTCATGGGTCAATTCCTGCCTAAGTTATTAACGCACTTCCGGTTTTCCATAGAACGCCATTATCTCACTTCCGGTTTATTTGTGCCTAATTTCATTTGGGTAGTTCTTTTGGGGTAACATATGCAATCCTTAGTGAAAATTTGATTAAGTTATTTGTAATAGTTTTTAAATTATGGCCGATTTAGTTTTATGTTCGATTTTCAACAACAACTTCATTTCCGTTTCTAGGCACAGGTAATTGACCTCTTGCCCTTAGTTACGTTATTTAACGAGTAATTCTGATTTTTCTGGTTGATATAGTAATCAAACATAGGGATAATTATATATTTTCTGAACCGGGGGAAGACAAAGA